AGCGCTATCAGGTCCGGTTGCACATGGTCCACGGCGAGTTTGAGTTCATCCATTTTGTTAAATAGACTCAGTACATTTGTGTACAGCATTTATGCACATCAATGAACTAAGCAATGTGGGATGTTGCCAAAATCATCACCGCCTAGAAGTCATTCATTTGGAGACACCCAATAATGGTGTTAGTACTGGGCCTTATCCTGAAAGACTGATTAAGCTTAACTAGTTTCCACTATCCTATAAACAATTGAGATGCGAACACTTATGGACATTTCGTATTATCAACGGACATTTCTGTTCGCTGAAATCCGAAGAGTTCTTTGAGCTCACAAACACGACTCACCTGCACGGCCACCCATACAAAATCAAACGTGAATGTATTTTCCAGATTCACGTATTTTTTCGTTCAGTCAGCGGGTTTTTCGACCGTGAACCTCCCTTCCAAGAGAAATTGTGAGATTGGATACCGGTACTTTGTTCAAATGGCAGGTCGATTACTATTGCCAGCCAGTCCTGACTTTTACTTCAGTAATCCAAATTTTACGCATCGCATCACTACACATTTGCCGTAACAGTGATCATGTAAACTTTACACTGACTCTATTCTGAGTGGAGCAATGAGAGTTAACTGGGTCAGCCAGGCTAGCCCTAAAATGATCATATTTTCTGCTAACTGGCATGGCTTCTCTGTGCACTGCACACAATTATACGTTTTAACTAGGATACGCAAAGTCTCACGTTTAGGTTTTCCGCATAAAATTGGCCGTACACAGCTAAATATACGTTCTCGAGGAGCATTTGCTTTTATGTGATGTTTTACTTTCCTTTGTGCCACACAGTTTTTTATTTCCCTGACACTTGCAACATTACATTTAGTCATACTTCTCTGCTTGTTTTAAGTTCATATCGACGGTTAAAACAAATGGTCTGTGGCATTGTTTTACGACTTTTGTGGGCATGATTGTAACTTCGCACATCCATAATTTTTACGCCTGTTTCATCTCTTAGTCAAAAAGCCACTTGGTCTTGAGCATGTGTGCAATAGTCATGCCGATTCTTAGTACATTGCGCATTTCACTCTGTATACCGACTAACTCTAACACCTTGAAAATGAAACTTTGCGAATTAGTAGTTTAAGTCTCCTCGTTGGAACGTGATTGTTTAACTCCGTGCTTTTTGGCGGTGCGGGCACATTTAGATTTTAGTGTGGTCGGGCGGTTGCATCAGGTTGGGATTTTTTTGTTTGATTCTGTGTAGTAAAATGATCATTTTCAGCAAACTGTGTTCAATATTCAAGATCGCCATTAGTCCGAATATTAAGTATGCACGTTAGCTCTCGATTACCAGCAGCCGCCTGTGGCCATGATCGCATGCAGTCACTAAACTGTGGCTTTAATTTGGCTGCTGGATGTGGTTTTGTTAGCCTATGGTTCACAAATACCGAATTTCCCTGCCTTTTGCACATTTATGGGTCCCCTAGTATGTAGTCTTACGCCTTGTTGTGGGGGTGGTTTTCTTGATTCTTGTGTCCATCCGTGTCCGTGCGATACTCCGTGTACTCCATAAAGTAAACCTGAAAACGGTTTTGCTAAGCATCGGCTTGTTTGAACTTCGCCCTTTGTTAGTGGCCTGTTGATCCTCCGCATGCGGGCTTATCCCTAGTGCATTTCACCTTCACGTGTTGTCACGTGTCACGTGCCCAACGCATAAGCTAAAATTACCTGAAGCATTTGATACCGAAGGTCGAAATCCGCCTAAGCTTCCGTGTCCTATGGTGTAAATTATGATTACCATCCTTCTTATAAGCATTCCACCCCGGGATTAATGTTATTTGTTCACAGTGTTTTTGAGTCCGCCCACGGCTATCGCGAGTCAGTAGTATGGCAGTGGACGCTCGCTTGTCCGTGTTTTATAATCGTTTACTAACTTACCAACTAAGCTCCACGGCCTCTACCAT